TAACTTTGATTATTTTTACTTCACAAAATCGATTTACAAATTAATTTTAATTGTAACTATTAATTGATAATGTTACAATAATTTCTTTCAGAGCGTTCGGTGAAATAAAGACTTTGAGGTTGCCGAAAAAATTAACAACTGGCTCTGACCAACATCGTGGATTTGCGTTCGTTGATTTTCATTCCAAAGCTGATGCAAAGGTATCCTTGAAATAAATTTATACGAGTATAACTTATTGCGTGTGATGGCGGCGTGGGAAATTCCATTGACCCACCTTCTCTCGTGGGTGTCGTAAAAATCAATTAAGGAAAGTCAGAATTTCTTGTAGGTTCTACCAGTTGGCGAAATAGCTACCACTATATCTTAAACTTAAAGTATGCTGACCGACGACCAGAAATAGTGTCAAAGGTTATGTCGCAGTGGTACTGGTACACCCATAGAGTACTATAATATATACATAATAGAACGGGGGAATGGGCGGAGCCCGTGTAGCTACTAAAATGTCAATTCACACGTATAAATGTCAACACGAGACGTGTTTTGACGTTACAATCGTTTCCAAATTTCGCATGCAAATTATTTAGAAAATGCCAAATTGCACACTATTTACAAATAAATACTTTTTTTTTCAAATAAAGATAATGCTATCTTGAACAATAATGAAAAGTCTAAAATGTGTAAATTTACTCACTCGGCGAATTACTTACTCACTCACAGCGAATCGGGTTGCTTGTGTGTGTGTGCTCCCGGCGAGGCCGATCCTCGTACAAAATAAGGTTGACAGCCATTCTATTGTGTATTGTAGTATTCTATGGGTACACCTTATCCGTGGCTAAACATAGTCTTCCTTAATGGTTCCCTCATAAGGTGGGGGGAGGGGGGATATTTGCCATAGTTGCCACACTTAATTTTTTAATTTATAACTTGTTATTAGGAATACCCTGCTGACTATCTCGTCGTTCGTTACCCTCTGTCGTCTTACGGCACCCACACACCGATAATGTATATTCTGACACCGCCACTACATGCAGTGGTAATAAAAACTATTGCTTGTTGTATTTTATTAAGTACTGCCCTGAACACAGCACAAAACATTGAACAATACAATGTTAATGTTACAACACATCTGAATGGGCCGTTATTTGCATTTTACACTATTGTCGTCACACATATAGATTTCCGGCTTATAAAATGAATGTCTACGCAAACATTATATATTTTAGTAATTTGTTTATAATATGTATCTAAGTAGCTAATTGCGTAGTTATAGTCAATGAGCATATATAATTTGAACATAGATATTTTTAACGTAGGTACTTTTTTCTTGTCTTGTGGCATTAAGTCATACCTTATGTAGATACTTGATGCGCTTATAAAGCTTAAAGTGCCTATATACATCCCACTGTTTTGTCCTGTACCAACCTCTTCTCATTTCTGAGAGGGTTTTAGGGTAAGAAAATGTCCGCCGCGCTGCCCCAATGCGTGTTGGCGAACTTCACGTCTTTGAAATATTTTTTCTTATTTCTAAGACATACACTTCCTTCACTGTCAAGGACGAGGTAAATCAGCACTTAAAATTGCAATTAACAACTTATTGATGCCGGCTGAAATCAAATCCGGGTTACTCGGGTACTATGAAATTTACAGAATACATACTAAATTTCTCGGAACTTGCTCAGACGACTGGCAGCCTCCGCCATACTTTTTAGTCTTTAAGTGGAAACTCGAACTCTTAAACACATAGTAGCACTTCGACGTACTTCAGTAGACATTAGTTTTTGTGGGCTGTGGCAGGCAGATAATTCAATATGTTTAACATCTAAGTATGCTTTTATTTTTTGTAGTCTGCTTTTGAGGCATTATGTCAGTCAACTCATCTTTATGGTAGAAGATTAGTTTTGGAGTGGGCGGATCAAACAGATGAAAATGAAGATATTAATGTTTTGAGAAAAAGAACGGCCGAAGCTTTTACCGCTAAGCTTCCAGGGGGCAAGAAGTCTAGAAAAGCAGCAGTAGATGTTGAAACCTTCGTTGAGGGAGAAAAGAGTTGACTTTAAAATAAAGTGATTGAAAAAAAAATTGCGCTTATTTTAATTTCTATGTTATAAAGTAATAACTTCCCATGCTATGCTTATTACTGTTTGGGAAATTTAAAAGACCATAACCTAGGGATTCTGTTTATTGTATTTAAATGTAAATTTTCAGTCTTATGCTAATAATTTTTTTGCGATTTTGTATCTAAGGAAATGATATAAATATGTCAGCACAATTCGAAAAGAACTGAACGACAGTATGTATATTTACAAAAACCATTTTAAACTAAGCTACTTTCGAGAACTTAGTAAAAGTATCATCTTTTCAAAAACTAAATATTAAAGCAACACATGTAATTTTGCATGTCTAATAAGACCCTTGAACACCTAGGATCCCAAATTTCATAATTAAACTTATCACTTCTTTAGTCTAAAAAATGCAATTTTTATCACTCACAAAAACCTAGACAACTTCTAGGTGACTTAGAAAATTCGAAATTGGGTATCAGTGTAAACCATTATACAAAGAAAAAGTCCATAACTACAAATTATCAATATTCAGCGTAGATATTAGTGCGGTTATAAAAAATAGTTTTAACTAAACAGCACCACAGAACACATACTTGTAACAGAACATAGCACATTCATACAACCTTTCGACATATAATTTATGTAATATTTAGTAAAGAATAAACAAAAGCAAGAAAAAAATAAGGTCATGTTTTTGTTTAGATTAATAAAGGGATAAAACTTTAAAAAAATTAATGACATTTTACCAAAAACATAAATGTGAAAACGGTGCAAGTATGATGTAACAGATGTTCTGGGTTGTCGGCTTCACCGATAAAGGTATTAGATCTGGGTACCAAGTTCTATAGCAGTTTCTGAAATCTTATCTACTGGAATGTACCTTCCAACACTTTGATTTAGGTGACATGGCAAGTATTATATCCAACTATCGTAGGATATTTGAGCAAAGCTATTAACCCTGATTGTGTATTAGCAATTGTCCTGAAGAGTGGTGCACCTGAATCAACTTCTGTAGTGACATGTCTGTATAGTTTTTTTTTTCAGACTGGAATTATGATTAAATCTTTTTTAAAATATTCTAAGCCAGTGCCGAACAAAAAACACGCAGCATTAAGAATATTACAGGTGCAGCACGAACGGGTGGGCTCTACCTAGAGAAAAGCCAACCTCGCAATAGTACCAGAGTAAAATAGCAGCGTAATGCTGTATTATAGAACCGGAAACCCTTTTTACTGGTAACAAAGCATTCAAAGTTAGTCCTCTTATGGATGAAATGCATCTCCATTTTGATTCTTAATCGAATATAGATGTAGGTTAGCTGTGAGACACATCCACTTATCATCATGAATACCGTGTGCTTTATTTGTCACTCTTCTACAAAGTCATGTACTTTGGACACTGTACACCCAAAAAATAATAGATATAGAGCTATTTAAATAATTTTGTGTATGTGAAAAATTAAGACGCGAGTATTGAATACCAAGCTTGATATACTTAAAAGATAGCTGCTACATTCTGCTTGGCAGTCTAATATTGAAAATTTTTAGAAGCCGTGGCTAAGTCATTACTAATCAGAATAGAAGCGTTAATTTCGTATTTACGAAATCTACAGTCGAAAAATATGTGTAAGAGCACTTAAAGGTATTGCACACAAAGTTCAATATTTTGAAGAAAATTTATATTTTATGGGTTATTCACAAATTAACTATTGCAAATAAATAAATGTTCATAAAAATAAAATTTGTGATACATAGTCACTTTTATTTCAATGATGACAATACAATATAAATTATGGATGGCATAATAAAAAATTTCCTTCGAACTCATTGAAATAAAGTAACACAATAGTTTCAACATCAAAATAGTGTTAATATTGTTACTAGTTTTATATTTACACAAAATAAGTATACATGGTCACCAAAATTTCTAAGGCAATCCATAAACCTGCTTAATATTAAATTTACATACATGGCTTATTTTTTAATATAACAAAACATTATAATTTATTTTTTAATGAGCGGTAATAATGAATAATCTTCCGCTCACTAGATGTCGCTAAGTGGACAAAGATGGAGTTATTTGTTCCACAATAAGAAGCTTCATTTAAAATTATAGCTTATTGGTTTCTAGAATATATACATACACAAAACAATGCCTCAATGGTTTGCCCTTAAATTTTTTGAAATTTTTAACTCTCATTTTAATTTTTGAAATTCAAAGAATAACCATAGTTTGGTTTATTAATTTATAATCTAATATAAAATACAACTAATATTCTAGAAAAAAAAAAATAACCTTTACATTTTCCTTACATCTTCCCAAGCCATGAAATCTGTCAAATATTTCACCTCATTCCTAAGTGGCGCCGCCCTAGTGGCAGGAAATGTAGGTATGTCATGTAGGTCACAATTATTTTATATAAATCTAACTATTATAAAATCAATGTTACTATATCATAAAATTAAAACAGTTGTTTGTGGAAAGTACATAATTTATTGCACTACTTCAAGTAATGAATGTGAATTTAAGCGATATTTTTCTAAGGTTGGTAAATATATTTACATGTTTAGAGAATAAACAATTAATAATAGAAAATAAAAACAGATTAAAATTAAACAAAAATATTTCACTATAGGATCTAATAAGACTAAAATATGCATTGAGAAATTGCTCATCTGTCTTAAATACAATTCAGTCTGCTTCATAACACATCAAACATCCTGGAGCTCACTCTTGATAATTGTAAACAGATTCCTAATCATATACAATATCTAACAATGCTTTTACACTATCAGAACTCTATGTTGACACATAATTGTAATAAATGTAATCAAATAGAAATATTCTAAACACTTTCATACTGGGTAAAATATCTGATTTGTAATGGCTTATCTTACATAATATATGTCACTTAAAACACTTACATTCAAGGACCAATTAAAATTTCAGGCATGTGTCCAAATTATGACTAAAAAGATTACAAAGAATATTTTTATGCTATTTGCAAAACACTATAATTTGGAATCAAATAGATGTTACTGGCATTTGAGTGCAGTGAATACACTTTATGTGTATTTACTTACATACACATTAAATTTATATTAGGAATATTATTTATAACACATTACAATTACATTATATCACTTCAATCAATTTTAACTGTGGAATATATCTTTCTGACAAATATGCTTGTTCCTACATAACCTACAGTGCCACAAATTATACCAAGGGCAAGACTAAACAGAGCCATGTAGCCAAAGTAGAAAGTAGTTTGAAATAATCCATACATCTTAGTTTTAAACAGAAAGTAATAGAATGAGTAGAGATAGACATACAAAGCAGTACTTCCAGCTGACAAAAAACTAGTCCACTGCCAACGATAGTCTTCAGCATTTAACAAAAAGTATGTACACACAATAGTCACACAAATTGTTACTATCATTAGAATCAAGAATACCAGCAACATAAATCCATAGACATAGTAAATCTTGTATGCCCAAAATGATGTAAATATAAAGTACATTTCAATAAATATAGAACCAAAAGGCAAAATTCCTCCCATAATAATAATGATAAATGGTTCCATAAACCATTTCTTTTCTGGAATAGGCCTAGGTACGGCATTAATACGGCAAGGATAATCAGGTTGCCCTGCTAAATTTCTTCCAAGAACAGTTCCCACTAGTGTCAGAGGTAAAATTACAAATGTGCAAATAGACATTACAGCAATCATACTGCCAAATGGAATAGCCCGTGATGCATGGTAATACATCGCAATAAAGTTGATCAAGAAAGCTGTACCACAAACTAATACAGGGAGCAGAAAAGCAGAGAGTAACATTTGTTTAATCCAAAGTTTACCTCCCATCCTGGCATATAGAGAACCACCAAAATAACCATTAACTGGTGAAGTTGCAGCATATATAAATATTGCCGTTGAAAGTAAGGAACCTCTCTCAGTATAGAGTTCCCCAAATATTGTAAAAATAATAACAGCTAATGTTACTACTGTTAGTTGATATCCTGCACCAACAAGAGCTGAAAATAAGGCTAAGTGTGGAACAGGTCTAAACACATCGCCATGCACTTGCTTCCAACCATATTCATCCCCTAAATCTTTCTCTAGATCATCAAGATCATCATCTTTTGAATACCTAGCATAGTCTTTACGTAAAGTTCTCATAAGAATCATAGACACAAGGCCCACTAAAAATATTACCATCATAAAACTATTAAAGATACTAAACCAATGAATTCTATGCTGGAAAAAATTTGGATCTAAATATTTGTCAAAACGATCTTCAAATCGAATATTGCTCTTTTTCCAGTTTACCTCGTAAGTGAAAGGGATCTTAGCATCAGGTACAAGTCGTTCCTTGTTTTCCGCGGTAAGGTTAACTTCTACAATCCTGTTACCATTATAACCAATATCGAACTTCTTGTGAGTCCAAATATAATAGTGATCGCCGTCGATTTCGCCTACTATACCCCATATTGGTAGATCATCTATGTACATTTGATACCAATAATGATTTTTCACCGCATACACAAGCGCTTTATAAGCCTGATCGTTCAATTCTATGCCGCAAAACTGCTGCGCTGGAACATTGTCTTTGAATGTAATATCCAAGCCACTAAATTCCAATTCAACGCCTTGCAATGCTTCGGATAAGGTTTCATGGTAATGCCCGATTGTAACTTTCGTACCCACACAAAACGGTAAAGAAAAATACGCATACGTCTCTTGTCGATTATGATATGGGCCAACGGTGTTCATCCACAGAACGACCTGCTCTCCATCTTTATAGGTATGTGTATGTTCATCACAATTAGCTGTGACGCACCACAAAAAGAAAAAGAATAATAATTTCATTATAATTAAACAATGTAAAAACCACTAAATAATATTACAAACATAACACGTCAGTAAAATGCCGATGATGGATTTAGAATCTAAAAAAAATCTAAATATTACAATGTGTGACCAGATTTTATTATACTAATCTACTAAATGCAGTAGCAAAAATCTAGTTAATACTACTAACAAAAATAATTTCGTACACGCAATATATTTTTGGAAGATGGGTGCAAAGCCTGAAGAGGTTGATAGTGATACCTTTAACTATTTAGAACATTTTAAGTTAAACTTGCCTTGGACGAAGTCTGCTCCTTTTTTAAGTTGAATTTCTAAGGTTTCTAATAATAAAACCCTTTTTTTCAATTGATTACTAATAGTCTCGAGTAACAATTCTTATGTTATTATTTTTTATTTATGTAAAGTGTGAGTAATCAAACAAAATAATTTCCAAGCATCTTCATCATCAGAAAAACAATTAAGGCTTCCGTCTAGCTTTGCCATTTTACTTTGGCAGCCATTAGTGGTGGCGCTCTCCCCTTTGCATAAATATGTTCGAGATCACGGGTGGATGCTGCTCCACTTAATAAATATATAATTTTTTTAAACTAATAAGAGTACTAACGTACGTACATCTTACATTGACAACTTATGAGGCTCAGAAGTGCTAGAGCCCAGAGCCGGAAAGCCAGTTAATAAAAAAAATTACAACTTATGCACAAACTAATAGAGTCAGTGTTGCCGTTTTAGCGACTTTCTCGCTAGATCTAGCGGATTTTAACAATGTTTAGCGGATAAAAAAAATCGTTTTAGCGAGAAATAATTATTTAGCGACTTCTAGCGACATTTGGACATTTGAGACTTTTTTAAAAAAGTAATTCATTTAAGTAATTCATTCAAATAAGTCATTTATCATATGTCCAATTTTGTAATCTACCGTTGGTAACACATACACTGTTACCTATATAATATAATTTCACGAGAATTCCCGAACATAAACTACCAATTCAATGTCGTTCATTCACTTTCATCTGTTTCGACCTTAGACCATGGTCTCGTTTCGACATACAAAAATGCAACAAGAGTAAACATACTCGAAGATATATTTAATTTTGCAATAATAATATTATCACTACCGCAATCAAATGCACAATTTGAACGCGTATTTGGTGCTATGTATGTAGTTAAAAGAAAACCGCGAAACAAGCTATCAGAAAAAACTTTATGCTTCTGATTAGAAATCAGTTAGGGATTTAAAAAAGAATTGCGCAACAAATGATATTCCCGAAGATGTTGTCAACCAAGTCGATAAAGGCAAACCAAAGATGGGAACTGGAGACACTGGCGAAGCTTCAACTTCCGCTGAAGTTGTTTTTGAAGATCTGGATCCGTAATTTGCTATTAATTTTGAAATTTAGGTACAAGAACCTACTGAGCTAATTGTTTTATTTTTAATAAGATGACTAATGTTTAAACGTGGTTTAAAGATTTAAGATTTATTTTTTTTACAATTTATTTTTCTCTTTTGTACATGAATAATTTTTGTTAGCCCATGTGTGGCGGATTTTAAGAAAAAGAAAAATCCTGTTTCTGGCGGATTTTTTCTGTTAGTCTAGGGACAAAATTTGTAAAACGGCAACCCTGATAAGAGTACTAACCAGTGGGGTACACTTCCATACTTTAGGTCTCTCGTTAGAGAGTAGTATGTTCCTTGCTTTAGGTTGGGGTTCAATAATTTGCAAAGACACTAGTGCCATCTTGTACTATATCCCCGTAAACTTTCGAACATTAAATTCTAAAAGGTGCGCTAGATGGCGACTACACCAATTCTGGTTATTTTGGAAATGGCAAGTAGCAACTTTATATGACATAATGGCTACCGGCGCTGAGCAAGTTGTTGTTTTATTATAGTTAAATGATTTTCGGTTATTGCTACAATAACTTTGGTTGAGTTGGGATTAGCCCTGTTTCTTTGTTGTCTGTTTAGATTTTCATGCTGGAATTACATTGAATGTTTGTGTAGTGTTGTGCGAAATAGACGCTTTCATTTATCATTCCGGTAACCCGGTAGACATTTAATTTGGTTTGGTGTTGTATTTTGCGGAATAGACGCTTTTACATCGTGTATGTTAAATATATAAAACAAAAATAAATGTTAATATTACTGAAATCTATAATATGGCTTTAATTGAACCCTAATCCCTTAAATATAAATATAACCGCCTATAGTATAGATAGCTGTATATACATAACTACATACAGCTATAGTCAACATGATATTGAGATTAGTTTAAGGGATATGATACCAGGCAGCGACACTATTCATATTGGGTGACAAAAAATCCTAGGAGATGGCTCTCTATTTCTGTATATATTACTCTACTCTATGGTACTAACTTAAACTTATGTCAAGTCAATGTGACTATGTGAGTGATTTATTTATTTTGGAGGTTATAAATACTAATTTGTAATTGCATCACAGAGAAACAGAAATGGAGGTGAATAATGACATACCGAGCTCTGTACAAGCTAAATTTAAATCAGATACAGGGGAAGAAATTGGAAGTCCACTTGACTTGCCTATAAATATAACGAAAGATCAACTTACACTTATATGCAATGCTTTGCTACAAGAGGTATATTATGTATTTCTTTAGCCCTCTTAAGATTTTCTCTGCATTAATGTATTTCCAAAAGTATTTATTCATGAAAATTAATTATTTGTCTTTATTTTAAGGAAGATAAACCCTTTTTATTTTATGTTAAAGATGTTGAAATAACATCTTCTCTAAAGGAAGTGTTGGACACTGTTCCTCTAAACTCGGAAGAAGTGGTGGAAATAATTTATCAACAACAAGCAATTTTCAGAGTTAGGCCGGTGACAAGGTGTACAAGGTATGTTATGATAAATTTAAGATTGTTATTTTAGCTTCATCATTGCAGCATATAACAATTTTACTGCCGCAAAGAGGCCGTAAAAAAATAAAACATAAGTAATGAAATTTAATATAACTGTATAAAGTTTCTACATTGTATATCAATTGAACTGTCTTCATTTTCATAGCAACATTGCAAATTCTTGTTAGCTACCTTCAGAATTCATTTAACTCATTGTGACAAACTTGTCAGTCACTAAATAAATGAAATCATTTACATATTATGACAAGTTATTTTACTAAGTTAAATAACATGGTATACTTAACATAATATCACATGGTATATTTAATATTCTGTGAGAGTGTGGTCCTTCCCTGGTTGAGCCGACCCATTCATGCTACAACCATAATAGCTGCAGTATGGCTTTACCACGTTGAAAAATGCGTGAAATTCAATATTATGACCTCCATTTGAAAATCCAAATTGACAGATAAATTTTTGCAGAAATCTAATAGAAAGATATCTTGTGAAAATGCATCAATTTTACCAAAAAGTTTAAAGATTTTTTCCTATCTTCACTTATGTCAGCAGATCACTCCCACAAAAGCGAAAATACCTACGCTATAATAGCCTACAAAATCTTAATATTAATATCTGCTGGTCGCAGCGAGATGAAAATGTACCATAAATATGCATCCAGAGTCGAGATTATGTTGCCCGCCATGCAAGTCACGTGCAAGCGCGTCATCGCATGAATGAGCTAGGGTTGTACATAATATTATGATGATTATTGTAATAAAATGAATGTTGCGAAATAAACATATTTTTTATTTGATAATCAAATATGGTTTAGTGTTAAAAAATGATTTTTACATTTTTTTCCTTCTCTGAATTCTCTGTTATTAAATTTTATAATTGAAAATATCCTAAATCGCGTAAATCATTTTAAGAAATAATCATGAGGAAAACAGAAGCAAAGGGGAGGAAAATCAATGTTTTGTAAAATTTGCAACAAAGTACTGCCGGGCTGATTCATTATGATGTTGCCAAAATTATATATATTTAAGGAATGCTGTTTCTAATTCTTCAATATAATTATTAAACATTTCTGGTGGGACTTTTAGCCCACCATAAAAGGATGAATCTTTATTACGAGTATAGGCTTTGAAATGAGCATACAGTGTTGTTTTGTCAACGTTAGGTTTCTCCTGTAACAAATCATTGAAGCTAGTACAGTTATGTTTTTTGCAACACATATATAATAAATACCCTTTTTTACTTTGACACCCATCCACTGCACAATAATTACGTGGTTTCGGCATTTCGACGAGTAAGCGCAGTAAATGTGCGTGGTGCGAGTGCTCAGGCGGGCGTGCGGCAGGCCAATGTCGGTTGTATCGTGGGCGATACGCAGAGCGATAGGCATATAACGCATGGCCTAGAGCGAGTGACAGAGGCCTGCTTATGTTAAATATTATAATACTTATTACTCTTTTACAGCTCTATCCCTGGACATGCTGAAGCTGTGATATCAACAAGTTTTAGTCCATCAGGCAAACAGTTAGCTAGTGGTTCTGGAGACACCACTGTTAGATTTTGGGATTTAAATACTCAGACCCCACTACATGTATGTAAAGGTGATTTCTTCATAACAAATTACATCAAAATGTATATATCTTACATTAACAAATAGTTGAAATCAAATTTAAGATAATAAATAATGATCCAACATGTTAAATATCATATATGAGTTAAGTTTTAAACATAGAGATAATAATATTATGTTCTTTGAGTGATTAATTTAATAAAAACTTTGTTCAGGTTACATGTGTAGGTACAAACCAATTCAAATAATTTTCAAGCCATTTTCACTCCATACTAAACATACTTCAAACATCAATATCTCCAAGTATGTAGCTTTTTGCAGGTTCATTCTTTTTTCGAGAATATGTTCAATTATACAACTCGATACTATCTTCTTTTCCTTTTCTTTTTTATTTTAAGGTTAAACAAGCTTTTTGTCAAGAAATTTAACAAGTATTATC